CTGCTGAAACTTGAGGGAGTAGTCCTGTGTACTCATGCTGCTTTTTCACCAAACTCCCTCATTATCGGGTTGTCTGCCTCTCCGTACCGGAGAGTAAGGGAAGAAAAGACTCAAGTGGAGGGGGAATGACACACAGCTAGATAACGCACTTGATGATTAAACTGTAAGCCATGTATACCTGACTGTTTTTCTTAATAAAACTTTTTTTAATTATTACTGTTTTTTAGAGCTAGTGCCCTGTCCAGTGCTGTTTCCACACTTGCCAATACAGGAATGTCATTTAGCAGGATGGATGAGAAAGAAAAGCAGCAGGCATTGGAGGAGGAACAAGCTAGACTGCAGGCACTTAAGGTACAATATTTTTTTACGAGTTCGTATTCTGAGATTTTTTTTTTTTACTGGATACAGGTGAAAATCAGGATTGGCTGAAAATAGTGTATGGTGGAGGAAACTCATCTTCTGTAGGATGCAGGTACAATGGCTGCCAGTATGTGGTGACCCTTCTACCAGGATTTGAGTAGCAGACAGCTGATGTAGATCACTTATATTCTTCCTTACAAGAGACTGTTATTCATCTCAAAGATTCACAAAATGAGTATACAGCATTTCTAGGTTCCATCTCAGCAGCTGAACATAGAGCATTGCTACTGTAAGACTGATTTTTGGTAGGAGGGAATTATTTTTCCCCATGATGTATGGAATATGGCTTTGGTGTGATTCTTCAGTCATGTTGCTCATAATGAGAATATACGCTACAGTTCTGTCCACATTTAACTGCCCTTATTTATAATTCTATAATTTAGTTTAAAAAAGTGTTTGAAATCATATATATTTAGGTATAATTTATGGACTTTGAATAGTAACACATCTGAAAGAAAATCAGCGTTTTCTCTCTTAGTTCCTTAATGCTCTATCCTTTGCTTCATTGGTACTTCGAGTACTCCTTGTAGTAACATCCCTCTCGAGGCCTGAATCCTGGTCCTTTTAACCTGTTTATCACACTGTTTCCTGAGAACTTACACAGTATGAAATCTCAAATAAGGCAAGGTGCTTCTCTTGCTGAAAGCTGAAACTGTAGTTCTGTTATGTCCAGGCACATGCAAGTGGGGCAATTGGGAATTTTTCTGGTGCTGCTTTAGCATCTCTAGACACACCTAAACAATGAAGCAACTCTGATCCTGTCATCTGGAGGCAATGTTACGAGAGCCTTGAAACTGTTTGGAGTGTGAAAGCAAACTGGTGGTAATGCAGAGTTGAGTTTCATCTCTGGAGTTATAGAGGTCTGTTGAAGGTTCTCCATTTTCCTGACTTAGTATAAGGTTTATTTTTCAAATCAATGTGAAGCAGGTTTTTTTGCTATTAGACTACAATCTTAGTGTGCCTTGCTGCCTGCTGCTGAACTGCTTCACTTGAATCTCAGCAAGTGTTATGATGTTGTTTTGGTTCTTTTTTGGTTGGGGTTTGGTTTTTTATTTGTTTTCACGAGTTGCATCGGGTATCTCCCCTCTTCACTGTCCCATGTCTACTGTGATAGGACTTGTAGCTGCTGTAACAGAATAATTAAATCAGTTGATACAAATTCTCATTTGGGGGGTGGGGAAACTTGGAAGCTCACCGAATGTTGTACTTGAGGAATGTAAGCAGTGTAAAACACACCTGTGCTTTGACCTGTGCTGTATAAATGCAGTGGGCATATCTAGAAGTGATGAGGGATGTAAACCTAAAATTAACAACGTAAACTAGATTTTTATTTTGCTAGTTTAAAAGCAACACCACATGGATATTATTAGGATGCACATTGTCAGTCTGACTTCTGGTCATCTGAATTGAACTATAATGAGATCTTAACAGTAGAGAGAGATGGGTCTTTCTGAACAAAGGTCCATCGACCTGTTTTTCTGAGTGACTATAAAGGGAGCCTAGAATGTGTAGCTTGACTAGAAATGTTTTACTTCTAGGCAGTTATAGATAGTTAAAAAAAAAATTATTAAAACCTCAAGTCCCACCTTGATTTTTAAAGGCTTTGTTAAAGCAAATCCTCTTATCTCTCATTTCAATCATCTTTCTGCTTTCAGGACTTCACAGAAGAGTAACTGGTTTATTTAAGACCATAATTGAAACTTTTTCTTGCAAAAGGTCTTCAGGACTGAAGGGTTAATAAATTAATAAAATTAAAACGCGAACTGTGTATCTCGTCTTTCAGGAGCAGCGATTGAGAGAGATTTTTGTAGTACCAAATTCCACTTCCACATCAGCATCCCCAAGCACCTTATCAGGAAAAAGCGTGAATACCACTGCAGCTGTTGACCTCTTTGCAGTACCAGCACCCACAACAAACAGGTGAGAGAGACTTCGCTTTCTGAAGCGAGCAGATATTACTGCATTGGCCTGTAGCTCCACAATCAACTGCAAAACACTGATCCTAGTTACTTCTCAAGTACTTTTCAAGAATAACCTTTTCCTGATGCTTCCCTGGTGTATTCACAGGGATTTTGGTGTCGGTCAATAAAAAGTGCTTAATTACTGGTTTTGTTTTGTACCACGGTTATTGATGGGCTGCTAGTGAACAAGAGAGTGTGAGATTGGTATGAGTGTTTGTATAGCACAAGAATACAATGCCTATTGCATATCTTCATGTTTCTCTCTCTCGCTTTTTCTTTTTCAGCATGCCTAACCTCTCTAGTGATCTTTTTGATCTTCAGCCTGCGTTTGTTCCAACTGTGCAGAGTACTCCAGCTATATCAACATCAGCGAGCAGTGCTTGGGGAGGTGAGCTGATATGATGATTTGGCTGTCTAAATGATGGGTGAACTCTTAGAATACAAGAATAAATTACAGTTTCATACTTAATTGAATCTACATCTTAAACCTTAATTACTTTGCATCCAAACATTTCTGTCTTTGACAGAGTATAAAATAAGTCATCTGAAAGCTCTGGCAAACTGTTACAGAAAAGTTACTTTTTTTAACGCGTAGCAGTAGTATCAGTGTTCAGTAGATGGAATGAAGGAGCTATTCAGTAAAGGGGGCAGGTAGAAGAAATGTAACTGAAAATCAAAGTTTAAAAATGCTGCAAAATATAAAATAGGCAGATGTAACTGAAAAGATGCTGGGCTAATGGAATTTCCATTCCATTAAGTGATATTTAATACATTTTTCATTTAAAAGGTGTTGGTGACTTCAGAGTTCCTACAACAAAGCTGTCGTTCCCAGTTTCTTGGACACAGCATTCTCTGTACCCCCACCCATCCCTCCAAAGAATAGTCGGGATAGATGTCAAAGAAATGTCTTAAATGCTGAAATAAGGCGATGTTAACGCCATTGTAAGTGTTGGTATTTTAATAGGTGGAATTGATACCCTTATGTGTTATTTCAAAGGTAGATTCTTGAAGCCAAAAATGTAGTATCTAACTTTTTTTTTGGATAATGTTCTGTCATTCTCCCCCTCCCACCCAATGGCAATACTAGAATAATTTTCCCTAAATAGAGAGCTGTTAGGATTTTTATATGAAACTATAAGAATGGGCTGGTCACTAGGTGGAATGTTTACAGTTTGACTTTACCTAGAGATTCTCATATTCAGTCATTTCAGTCTGTTTTTCTTTTCCATTATTTGTGGTCTGTATTCTTTTCTTCACTTCTGCATCTGAAAGGTCCTTTCTCGTCCTCAAATGGTTGTGTTGGTTCTCCACCTCATCTGGACATCTTTGACATGAAGCCAGTTGAAGAAGCTGTAAAATCTACCACCCCTTTCATCAATTCTACTTTTTCCTCCAAACAAACTGTGGAACTGTTTAGTGGTAAAAAACCAAACAAACAAACCCCATGTAATTTCTTTGCAACTGGAGATGATAATGCTAAATAAACTGGGCTGTGTAATCTTTTTGTGGTTTGGACCAATCTTCACTTGTTAGTAACAAGTGAAAAGGATGCATTAATTCCAGATGTAGTAAATTATCTGTTTCCTTAAAGCTTTATTTCTACAATTGAAATAACTAACCATTTTGTTCAGCTTGCCCAACCTAGACATCCTAAGACTTGCAATATTGCTGGAATTTTTGCTGATTTCTTCCAAACTGCAGCCTCCTTTCTCTTTTGTAATGGGGAATGCAGGAGTTAGTTGAGCGCTTCAAATTTGTTAAATTAAACAATCCTCTTTTTATTACTAAAAATCCTTAATTTTTAACTGCAGACTTAATTTTGGGGTCCCCTCTTCCTTTTTCTCTTTTAAACTGACCTTATTTTCTTCTCTCTTACTACGAAGATGACTTTAGTGGTCATAAACCTACATATGCTTCTGTGTATCATCCTCTGACTGTTGATGGTAATTTGAATTTTCTTTTTAACTTTCTAGTTTCACTGTAATGAGTGGTATTACTCCATGGGTGTATTTGATTACTCTAAACTTTTTTTTTTAGGTTTTCCTCTTCATTCGGCTCCTCCAAGTACCACCTCTTCAACAATTAATGTGGACTTTGATGCTGTTTTTGGAGGAAAATCTGCAGCACCGGAGTACAGGACTACCAGTGGTAAAAACTATCTTATGACTAATTTACACCCTACAAGTAACAGTTGCTTTACAATTTAGCATAATTGCTATTGCAGTTCAAAATCTAATAACTTAATACATTTGCAAGCTGATTATAGGGCTGATAAGATAACAGGCAATCAGTTCATTTGTAGTTATTTACTTTAAAATTAGTTTTGACGTATTTTATATACTGTGTAATGACAGTTTCCTTTCTTTTTGGGGGAATGAACTTTGAACGTGGCCCACTGGATATCTCTTTAACGGGTAAGCTTATGTTAAATCTGTTTTCAGTGTTTATGACTAGAGTGTTTTCTCTTGATATGTGATAATGAGGTCCCCCCTAACTTCATTGAGAGGCGTTGTACTTATAAAAATGCATAACTCGTTCTGTGTATGTTGCTTGAAGAATAACTGAGTTACGATCTTTCTGTTGGTGCTATTTTGCTATGTATTCAAGGTCCTTATGAATATATAGCAAAGGAGCTCTTGTGTACACTCAAGATACTAGCAGCATCATGAAACTACTGCTATATTGTGTTAAAAGAATACTTTGAAACTACCTTTAACAACCTTCCTTCTTCTGCAGTTTTAGGGGAGATTCATCTACATTTAAAAATACCATCAGTTACTGCTGAAGTAAAATTAAAGATTCTACTAGATAGTAACTACAGTGTAGTTCCATAAAAAAATAAGAGGTTAAACTGTGCTTCTGTCTAAGCCTTAAACACTTCCAGCATGTTGAACCTCCACATATAAACACTCTACTAAAGTGTTCTATAAAGAAAATAACCTCCCTGGCTTATGGATGTCTCTTATTAAATGCAATGTAACTGCTCTGTTAACAGTTGCTTTTATGTTCTTTGTTTAGCTTTTAACTTTCTAGACGATGTATTGCAACCCACAGTACCACCACAAAGTCAAAGAGCCACTTTAGCCAACCAGCAAAGTGGAAAAATTTTGGCAAATGACCTCGATTCTTCACTTGCTAATCTAGTGGGAAGTAAGTGTGAAGCTTTTAAACTTAACTTTCCCATTTGTTGCTGAAAACAAACCAAGCTTTTTTTTCCCCCCAAAAATAAAAATACTTAGGGATTTTGTCTGTATCTTTTTCCCCTCCAGATCTCGGCTTTGGAGGAACTCCATCCAAAAAGTAAGTGCATGTATGTACTTAGAGTATTCTTACATAACTATTTGGTAGTCTCTGGCACAGTTTAGCAGCACTAACATGGCAAGAGTCTCAACTCTTGAAAGTAATCTGCTATGAAGTACAGCATTGAAACAGTGAGTTTGTGGTTAGTCACCATAACATGGTTGACCTTATCTTTTGAAGTAATTCACTTTAGTTTTGCAATTGCTGTGTTTCTATTTAAGTATTTTTGTGGAGTACCATCTTGCAGTTACATAAAACTCCAATTAATTGTTACGCTATACAGTGCAGTAATGATAGTTTACTTTTAACACAAAACAGAACCCCCAGACTTCATACTTGCTGGAACAGAGATATATAAATAGTTACTGAAATACTGAGTGTTTCTTCCATCTGTAGATTTCAGCTATGTACACGTATTAAGGCATGTTTTGGTTTTCCATTATGTTGTTGTTACTCTAGCTGTTGACTTTGTGAAAACTAATACTACAGTGTTGGTTTAGATCAGATATGCAGTGGACCCAGCCTACGGAGAAAAAACTTACTGGTGGAACAAACTGGCAAGCAAAAACAAGCACATCGACCACATGGAACCCTACTCCCTTACCCACTATTCCACATATGGTAATTTCTGTACTATTGAAATGCTTCATTCTAGAAAATGTTACTTCCCTGCTTGAATTAACTAAGAATAGCAAAGGCTGTTTGGGACAAGACTGGGGGCAGGGGGCAATGCTTGTAGGATCACGTGTCAAACTGAATGAGGTAGAGATTTTAGTATGCTTTATTTCCCCTCACTGTAAAACTTGTCCATTAAAGACTTAAATAACTAGCCTTTCAGTTGAGACATACCTCAGTTCATAAGTGCTTTTTTAATTGAAAAAAATGACCCCAAACCAGAAAATTTCTGATGTGCGTGTTTGAGATGCCTCACCCCTGACCCCGCATGCACACATATGCACCTTTAAGGATCCTAAGAATGTGTTTCAAGGGCAACACTGCTGTTCCTTCCAGTCTTCACCCCCTTTTCAGTTCTATCACATGAAATGTTGCTGCAGCCCCTGTAAGGCACCTTAATTATCAGGTCAAGCAGCATTTTTGACTTTTGAAAATGCTCAACAGCAACTTCATATTTTTAAGACAGTACAAAATACTAAGTGGAAGTTTTATAGTTAGTTAAATGAAGAATTTTCGTTTACTAGAGGGATATTTGTAGGCAACTGACTCTTCCTATGCTTTTAAAAGAGATTTTTCAAGTATCTTCTATTCATATATATTCATACAAATACAAACCACTTCTGAAATATAGCTGCCTTGGAGGGAATTAGAATGTTCATCTCTATTACATATACAACTAGGGTAATTGCCATATTTGCTATGAATTTTGGACTGCTGTCTGACTTTTATTTTCCAATAAGAATAGCTTTGCCTGTAATGCCTATGTTCCTCATCTTATGTGTATGCTCATTCAAAATTGTGAAAGTCGAATAGAATATTAAATCCACTATTGGACTCAAAAATGAAACTCAAATTCAGATGAAAGGATGTCTCATTTGTATAGCACTTTTATGTGAGACTTCTGAGACCATTAAATCTTTCTATCCCCTCTTGGTGCTCTAGAACATGTTAAGAGTGCTGATGCATTCTTATTTTTGGAAGATAGAGGGCACCTTAGTACACATTGATCACTGTGGATTTGGGTTGTGTGTGGGTTTTTTTAATGTGTTCATGTTTAATACTTTCTGGTCTAAGCATTTGAGTGTTTTATGCCAGGTATCTGCTCACTCATTTGCTTGGGATTCTAACAATTAATGATGCAAAGAACTAGTTCAGTTATGAGCATCTTTAAAATCAGTGCCCCAGTATTGGAAAGGTCTAACTGTCCTAGCTTGGTCTGTGGCATTCAGAGTACTAATCCTCCAATTCATGTATAGTCTGCATACTCTTTCATAGTGAAGTATTTTAACTAGCACTCCATTTTTAATATAATTAGCACTACTTGACAATGCATGGCAATGTGAAATGCATGCATCACTGTGCCTATGAACATAACCTGATATAAGTTATTACCAGCTTAAGATGCTCTTCATTTTTCTTTTTTCTTATTGTGATATGTTGCAGACATCAGAAATTAGTATGTGAGCAACATGTACCTGATGAAACATCTGTTGCTGTTTTGTTTCTTAAGCTGAATGGTCACTGGCTTCCTTGCTTGTTGGTTTTTTTTTTTCCTCTATGCCCTTCTCACACATAATGGGAGGCAGAAGCAATATTGCATGCTGTGCCCTCTAAAAGCATCTCACAGAAATGTTTGTGCAAGCAATATACTCAAATCTGGCTAGATTTACTAAAATTTCTATTTTTGCTGTAAGTCTTACTAGTGATAGCTTTCTAGGCAGGGAGCCTATCCAAGTTAACAGGCATAGTTACTGATGTTACTGTCCTTGCACTTTTTTCCTCCCACTTTAATTGTTTTAATAAATGGGTTGAGCATAGTTACAGACAAGTTATGGTACTGGACTTGAATCCGTCCCTTGGTTAGAATTTCCAGTTCGAATACTTCTTAAATAATTTTCTGTCCTTACTCCTTTTGCTGTGCCAGAATGGAGTACACTATCCTGGATATGTAAGTCAATTTCTTGTAAACATGTTGGTTATTTTAAGTATTGAAAAATATGTATTTTTCAGTTTTAGATATATATTATTAGTATGCATGAGCTTGTCTAAAATACATTAAAATTTTCTTGATTAAAGGTACCTGCTCCTATCGCATACCCACTGACCACACCTCAAGTGCCTATATATGGAATGGTAAGAAATGTGATTGTCTTGTATTCCCGAAAAACCTAGTTGTATCCTCCCGTGGGTTTCATGGCAGGCATTATTATGCTCAAATCATTCTGCAACTTGTAGGTATTGTTTCATAAGGTCAATAGTGTGTGAAATCTGACAGCTTTTTCACATTGCGCATTGGAAAAGATTACTCAAGTTTTACACAGCAAGTTTTTTAAAAGCTTTGACTTTACTACATGTGTGTCTATATGCTTATTTTCTACTATAATTACAATGCGAAAAGATGCATTTTCTAGAATTAGTTTGAATTTTCTATATCTATTTTGTGGTATTTTTGTTTTTCTAACAGGTACCTCCTCAGATTGGAGCTGCTCCTTTGATGGCACCCCAGTCAATGATGTATACGCAACCTGGTCTAAGGCCAACAAATCCTTTTGCACCTGTTTCTGAAACTCAGGTGAACTGTTTTCTTTAATCTTGAGATCCTATTGGAACTTTAGTCTTGGTAGAAGCAAGAATAAGGTTTTGTGAAGGGCTACTAATGTATTTCCGCATTTCAAAGTGCAGGGTTCCTCAGTCAAGGGCAACAGCTTTTGCGAGGAAGCGAATTCAGATGGTAAGACCATGCAAATGTAGGAAGCAAGGAAGACAGTAAAAATTGAGTAAAGATTTAGTGGCTAACTTCTTACTGTCTGAATGTTAAGAAAATGGGAGTGGTGAAGATAAGTAGAATTTAGACTTCCTATAACATTAGCTGGATACTTGGTTTAGTCATACTGCGTAGAGCAGTGGTGAAGCTTTCCGAGGGTCAGGTGGCAGGGAGGCGAAAAAGGCATGGGCAAGAGATCATTCAAGTTGAAAAAAAACTGTGTACTCCTGTCATGCAAGTATGTTGGTCTTAATGTTCTTTGGGGACTTTTTTTTTAAGTGCCAAAACCTATAGTCTTCACTTTCAAGTAACAAGGCAGTTGACTAGATTCGTAATTCTAAACCACTGAGAAACCATGTATGTAAGTGGCATTAATATGTAATCTCTACTTCACAGATACAGTTTATGTAGAGCCGCCAAAGCAGCAAGATGTGAGAACAACCAAATACTGGTAAAAAAAGAAAAGACTGAATTTCAGTATTTCCATGATGTATTCCTGAACAGGGCAACTGTTTCTTCCCTGTATAATACAATATTTTGAATTGCAATGCTTTAGAGATTCTTGTTTATAACAGTCACTGCAGTGTGAAGTCATGTTTCCTCACTGATACTTTTTTGTTTTGTTTTTAAAAACTGCTCAGCAGAAAACTTATTTTATTGAGGTTGACTCGGAAGGTGCAAGCTGGATTATCATCTTCAAAGCTGAGAAGAGGGGTTACATGATTGCTCGACAACCTTATTCATCAGTGGATTACCTGAGGAAGTTAATTGAGGATGTCAAAGCTATTTATTTTCTCCATAAATTCTGTGGCTGTTGTAACCAAGACAAAACACAAGTGAAGTTGAGCAATAAAATTTTTATGTGCTCTAATAAATACTCTGGTAGAGCAATGCTTGCATTATCAGGCCAATATTGTGTGAAATCAGACAGCTTTTTTACATTAGAATAGCTTAATAGTAATTTGCAAACTTATAATGTGAGTTTGAAATGCTGTGAATCAACGAGATACATACACATTACACGTATATCTATATATATAAAAATAATAAATTGCTCCATTGGTATGTCAGTGTTATATGGTTAGTTGAAAGAGCCAGGCTCTGATACGGGCTGAAAGTCTGTGATGGAGTAGGGGAAACAAGGGTGTTACTGAACGGTATGTGCAGCCTCCAACAGGGGACAGCAGCTGCGCTACCATCGAGTGTCTTCTCTGCAGATAGCATCTTTCATAGCTCAAGGAAGAGTAGCTTTGGGAGCCAGGGTATGTAGGTATCCCCAATAGCAGCAAATGGGAACAATTTGAAAATCTTGTTGCTAACTGCAAAAGAGGCAAGAGATCCAGGGTTTTTTTTTAAAAATCCATTACATCAAAAGAAGCAAACCTTGCAATAGTGCTGACACTTGTGAACTGGCAACTGTATTGAAATTATCCAGCTGTAGAGAATAGCTTGTGCTGCTTTTTTGAAATAAGAACCTAGTTGTAAACCATATAAAAGTAATTATTTTTAAATGTGTAAATATGTGCAAACTTTTAGATAATCTTTTCTTTAATGCTGCAGTAATCTTTTTCTTCTGTAGTAATTTCAAGGTAAAAATGCTATGTTAAGAAATCCAGACTCTTTTTGAGAGAAAAATCTTTTAAATCAACTAATTTATGAAGTATGCTGTTCTTGATGGGTCAGATGCGTACAGACTTCTGGCACGCCTTTTGTATTTAGCAATCTTCCTCCAGAACTGAAATCAGCTATGAAAATGCCTTATCTTGTATTTTTCAATGTCTGATAAAAAGTGATAGCATTAAAAAACAAAAAGTAGTTATTAACAAGTAAATGGAATTGGGAGCCACCTTTCTTCCAGAAGCTTTGTGGCAGAATGCAATGAAAAGCTCTCCTGTAAAATGACTCCTACTAAGGATTAATATTAAAGCTGTGTTTTCCAAAAAATGAATAGTTTTCTATTGATACAATAAATAGACCTCCAGAGTAGCATGTCTTTTATCTTTTGGGGAGTCTATAATTGCAGAAATATCTCTGACTCTCACTATGAATGCAAATAGGCCTGAGAATCTTGTCAAACTGTCCTGTAGAGAACTTCTGAAATACAGCACTTTCCTCATAGTGGGAACAAGCCTTCCCTTTTTCTAAATGCTTAATTCTGTCCAAAGAGTGCAAAAGTAGTATTTCTTAACCCTATGGAAATATTTTTGCCAAGTGAAACAACTCAAAAGAAACAAAATACAAAACCATACCCCAACCCTTGCAATCTATAACCACTAACTTCCTGGGAAATGTAACCTTGCAGAAACTTAAAACTAGTTTCTGAATGTGTATTGATTTTTTTTTTTTAAGAATTTGGACTGGTATATAGCAGTTTAATGTTCAAATTAGAAAGGGCTTCAAGCTTTAATCCACCTTTATTGGGTTGAACAGTTGTACAATTTTAAGCCAATGAGCTCTTCAGTGCCTAGAGTTACCCTCCACCTGATGAGGGAATAGATGCCATTTAGAATGGGTCATTGTGTTGAGGGGACTGTTTTAAGTAAGAAATAGTGAATTCCATTGATTTGTTCAGCATTGAAAAGTTTTGAGTTCAAATGAGACTAGTACATGTAGTAATAAATGTCTGGGCATTAATGACAGAGGTGAGAGTGCTACAATCAGGCAGTTCCTAGCACCGTAAGCTGTTAGGTCTCTCTTTCATACTGAGTTGTGTAAGTAATAATCCGTTATTTTAATAAAATATGCAAATAAATGCCTGGCAAACAGTATATATTTGTTATAATTTTATTGCAGAGCATTCTGAATATCTGGAATGTACTTCACTCAGAAATGGATTTAGTACTAGGTATAGTTTGCACTACTTCTGATTTGCTCTGGATTTTTTAATGGTTCCTTGGTACGCTTTCTTGTAGCAAAGCTGTCTGATACCAATTTATTTACTATTAAAAAAGGAGAAACAGCCACAAAGTATGTCCTAAAAACTACAAGCTACCTTCTTTTTAGTCTCGTTCAGAACATTTGATACATTAAAACACGGCTTTCAGATTTATCCTTATGAAGAAAAGATTGCTTTACACACTTCTCTCTGCACAAAAGTGCACAGGACTGCTTTTTGCCAACCTCTTCCTTGTGCACATATTGGAATGCATAAAATGGCAGAGTACTGTCTTTTGAATAACATAGTTCATACAGAAGTAAAAACCGAGGACTTAAAATGCTGTCAAGGCTTTTATGGCTCAGAACTTGTTCTCCAAAAAAACCACTTTGAAGACAAAGGTTGTTCTTGAGGGTGACTGTAATAGCCCGCAAGAGTTGCGAATAGTGGTTGTGATGAGTAAAACACTGAAGAGAGGTGTATATAAATGTGTCTTTCCCTTTTGTTTCCTTCCAACTCGTTTGATCAGAATCCTGTTCTGAATACTTCAGAAAGATAACTAAGATGTCACTCCATGTTTGTCTGAACAAGGAGGAGACCTGAAGTATGCTGTGTGCTTTGCATTATTGTACTTCAGTGGGTCGTTCAAGCCTAACTGTTGGGACTTCATGCTGCTACAGGGAGGCTGTCTTTCATGGGATATACTGTAAGATAACTTCTGGGCGATTTGGAAAGGTTGATTGTGTTAGGCCTGTTGGACTTGAAAGTGTACCTCTTTTTAAATAACTGGGATTTTCTAATGTTCTCTAGATATAGTTTGACTTTGCCTCCAAGAAGTTATTGAATTGATTTTTTTTTTGGACACATGTACTAAGAAATCTCAGTTCTGTGCACATAGTGGTGGAATACTTGTAGGTAAAAATAACAAATGGACTTCCCCCCCCCCCAAAAAAACCCCACCAAACCCCAACCGAAAAACTCCACCACCAAAAAAACTTCTGACTACAAGATTGAATACAGGGTGTATCCCCATCTGGGTTTTTTGATGTGTGGCAGGGAGGGTGGGGTTACAATTAGAATAGTAGGCACTGTGGATCGGTGCTTAATTTGTACATAAAAAGGAAAACTTTGTTTTGGGTAGTTTGTATTGTAAGGACAACATCTAAAGGCACTGTGTATCAGTCATTTATTTCCATTTAAAAGATTATATTTTTGAGCAATGGAAACTGTACATGTTATCATTTATATATTACTGATAGCTAGGAGTATAGAAAACCTGTTGCTATTACTCTGAAGATGTATTTGACTTGTCATTGATATATGCATCACTACGCAGATTCTCATGATCATTTATTTAAAGAGATTGTAGTAACTGGTACAGTTACAACAGGAATTGTAACAGCAGATCTTTCAGTATATCTCAAAGGTGTATCCTTGTGATTAAGTTTCATCCTCTACCAAATGTTTGGCTGGAATTTCATCTTGGAGCAATGACAAAATAGGTGCTGGAACAGATTTCCCTCACCCCAACCCACACTTTATTTATTTAATAGGTCTTGTTTTGTATGTTATGTTTTTCCCCATAACAGGTTTGTGCCTTTTATTGGATATTTATTTAAAAGGAGCTACTATAATTTAGGTTGTTCAGGCTTTTCTTCAGATGTATTCTTGTACAGCTGTTCCTTTACATGACTTCCTTCCTTTTATAAGAATACAGAATGTGTGGAAAATATACTAGCCACAAACTGGAAAAAAATTTTGAGGGTTTATGTTCTACGAATTAATAATTTTTTTAAAAAGAAGCCTAAGCACAAGACCGGCTGTGTTGATATTTTAATTGTGGAACTTCACAATTTGTTAAAACACAAACTGTTTGTTTTTTAAAAACTGCTCATATCCAATTATTTGATGAAACAAGTTTTGGAAAAAAAATAAACTTTGGCACATGGAAGGTGTGTGTGGATGTGATCATTCTTTAATGTGTTCTCAGGCTTAAGGCTTTCTATAATGCTAACAGCAACAGCTGAGTTCGGGTGCTTGATTAGTTTCTTACTCTTCTATGTTTAAAGTAGTACTTTAGTAGTACTACGCTTAAAGTAGTATTATGCCTTACTCAAACTACCAGTGTAGCTTAACTTGAGCAGTTGACAAGTTTTCCTTTGGGAAGTAGTGAGTGGTTATTCCTGTGCCGGATCATCGGGCTTGATTGCGGGGCGGTGGAGGGGAAGACGCGTGGCTGTTTGTGTCGCATGGGGGTGGCTCCTGGTTCTCTCCTGAGGTGTCTCACTGCATCCGGGTGGGAAATAGGCCTTGCCCAACATGAAGTTCAATATTTGGCTTTCTCATAATTTTGTACCCGTAGGGTCCCTATAGTGTGGGAAGCGTAAGGGTTGTTCTCATAGAGCTGTGTGTTACCATGTAAGAAGTCTTAAGATCAGAAGTCAGCAGCATGAAAACATTGAATTGCGGAGTGGTTATTGCTTGGAGCTGTTCCTGAGTCTGCTGCTGACTGCGGGTGGCTTTTGGGAAGGCGCGTTAGTTTTGGTTTAGCACGCCTGAAGTTAGATTAATTCCCCAACCAGGTCACCGTTTCAGAGGAGCACTAAGGGCCGGGAAGAGACATGCTCGCAAGGTCTGTCTTGGGCAGATGTTTCTTATTTCTAAATGGGAAGCCTTGAAGAACTGTATTTAATAGCTGCTTTTTTGTTTCGTTTTGCTGTAGAGAGTGGTTGCCAGTTCGGAGCTTGAACTATTTAATAGCTAATTCTTGCTGTGTCACGGCCAGCCGAAAGCTTCCCCTCGCTCACAGAGCCCTGGGCGGCAGCGGCGGCACCGTCCTGCTTGGGCCTTCCGCGAGCTGGTCCCGTTCCTAGTAAAAGGGTGAGCTTTACTGCTGATCCTTTAGAAATGTTCATTATAAGTCACTAAATGAGTTACTCCTGTTCTCTGCCGGTGTCTGTATTATACGTGCATGCTTTGCTTGCTTGACACGAGCCGTGCTAGGATGGGGGAAGGTACCGGCGGTAAAGGCGGGCGTCTAGGAGCAGCAGCGCTCCCTCCGCAGGCACAAGTGGAGGTTAGAAAAAGTAACACTAAAACACACCCCCACCCCCACACC